TTGCATTTTCCGCGAGTCAAACCTGGGTCTATTGTTTGGAATGCAATTATCCTAACGAATGGACTACAAATGCCTAATTTTTTAAATATTTGCTTCACGTAATAAAGAAGCACACCTATACACTACTCGTTTTACTTTTCAAAGTCTCCCCCTAATTTTTTACTATCGTAATTGTGTTTGCCAGGAGTCGAACCTGGGTCTATTGCTTGGAAGGCATTTATCCTAACCGTTAGACTACAAACGCCTCTTATTTAAACTATTTATTTCACATAATCAAGAACAACACGAATACACTACTCATTTTACTTTTCAATATTTTCCCCTTAATTATTTTACTATCGTGATTGTGTTTGCCGGGAGTCGAACCCGGGTCTATTGCTTACAAGGCAATTATCCTAACCGTTGGACTACAAAGGCCTCTTATTAATACTATTTGTTTCACGTAATGAATAACAACACATATAAATTACTCGTTTTACTTTTCAGAATTTTTCCCTTAAGTTTTTACAATCGTAAATCATTTACCAGGAGTCAAACCCAAGACTGTTGCTTGTAAGGTAATTAGCCTAACCATTGGACTACAAATACCTCTTCTTTACACTATTCGTTTCACATAATCAAGCACGAAAGGTAAACACTATTTGTTTTACTTTTCAAAAAAATTCCTTTATTTTTTTATTATCGTGATTGCGTTTGTCGATAGTCAAACCCAGGTCTATTGCTTGGAAGGCAGTTATCCTAACCGTATGATTACGAACTCGTCTTCTTTACACTATTGATTTCACATAATCAAGCAAAAATGTTTACACTATTCGTTTTACTTTTTAAAATGTACCCCTTAATTATTTTACTATTGTAATTGCATTTGCAGCAAGTTGAACCCAGGTATATTGCTTGGAAGGCAATTATCGTATCTGTTAGACAACAAACGCCTCCTCTTTACACTATTCGCTTCTCATAATCAATAACAAAAGGTATACACTATTTGGTTTATTTTTAAAAGTTTTTCCTTAATTTTTACTATCAAAATTTCTTTTATCAGGAGTAGAACCCAGGTCTATTGCTTAGAAGGCAATTATCCTAACCATTAGACTACAAATGCCTCATCTTTACACTATTTGTTTCACATAATCAAGAACAAGACGTATACACTACTCATTTTACTTTTCAAAATTTTCAACTTAAATTTTTACTATCGTAAACGTATTTACCGAGAGTTGAAGTCGGGTATATTGCTTGGAAGGCAATTATCCTAACCGTTAGACTACAAACGCCTCTTCTTTACACAATTCGTTTCACATAATCAAGCATAACAAGTATATACTATTTGTTTTACTCTTCAAAAATTTCCCCATAACTTTTAACAATCGTAATTGCATTTTCCAAAGGTCAAACTCGGGCCTATTGATTGGAAGGAATTTATCCTAACAGTTGGACTACAAACACCTCTTCTTTACAGTATTTGTTTCACATAATCAAGCACAAAAAGGTATACGCTAATCGTTTTACTTTTCCAAATTTTCCATTAATTTTTTGCTATTGTAATTGTATTTACAGCAAGTTGAACCCGAGTCTATTGGTTGGAAGGCAATCATCCTAACCATTGGACTACAAACGCCTCTTCTTTACACTATTTGTTTCATATAATCAAGCAGAAAAGGTATATTTATTTTTTTAAAAATTTCCCCTTAATGTTTTACAATCGTAATTTCATTTGCGGGGACTTAAACCCGGGTTTATTAATTGGAAGGCAATTATCCTAACAATGGGACTAATAATGCCATTTCTTTACAATATTAGTTTCACATAATCAAGTACAAAAGGTAAAAACTATTCGTTTTACTTTTCAAAATTTTTCACTTAATTTTTACTATCAAAATTACATTATCCGCGAGTCGAACCCGGGTATATTGCTTTGAAGGCAATTATCTTAACAGTTAGACTACAAACACCTCTTCTTTAAACTATTTATTTTACATAATCAAGAACAAAATCTATACACTATTTGTTTTACTTTCCTAAATTTGTCCCTTAGTTTTTTACAATCGTAAACGCATTTGTCGGGAGTCGAAGTCAGGTCTATTGCTTGGAAGGCAATTATCCTAACCGTTAGACTACAAAGACCTTCTTTTCAAATAATCAAGCACGAAAGGTATACACTATTCGTTTTACTTTTCAAAATTTTCCACTTAATTTTTTAATATAGTAATTACATTTACCGAGAGTCGAACCCTGATCTATTACATAGAAGGGAATTATCTAAACCGCTAGACTACAAAGGCCTTTTCTTTAAACTATTTATTTCAAATAATCAAGAACAACACGTACACATTACTCTTTTTGCTTTTCAAAATTTTCCCTTAATTCTTTACTATCCTAATTTTTTTTGTCGGGAGTAGAACTCTGGCTTATTGCTTTGAAAGAAATTATCCTAATCGTTAGACTACAAACGCCTATTGTGTACACTATTCGTTTCACATAATAAAGAACAACATGTATACACCACTCGTTTTACTTTTCAAAAAATCCGCCTTAATTTTTTACTATCGTAATTACATTAGCCAGGAGTCAAACCCGGGTCTATTGCTTGGAAGGTAATTCTCCTAACCATTGGACTACAAAAGTGTCTTTTTTACATTATTCGTTTCACATAATCAAGCACAAAATATTTACACTATTCATTTTACTTTTCAAAAAATTCCCCTTAATTTTTTAATATCGTAATTACATTTACCGAGAGTCGAACCCGGGTCCATTACATCGAATGCAATTATCCAAATTGTTGGACTACTAGCGCCTCTTCTTTAAACTAATTGTTTCACATAATCAAGAACAACACCTATACACTACTCGTTTTACTTTTCAAAATTTTCCCCTTAATTTTTTACTATAGTAATTGTGTTTGCCGGGAGTCAAACCGGGGTCTATTGCTTGGAAGGAAATTATCATAATCATTGGACTATTAACGCCTATTCTTTACACTATTCGTTTCACATAATCAAGAACAACATGTATACACTACTCATTTTTCTTTTCAAAATTTTCCCCTAAATTTTTTACTATCATTCTTGTATTTGCTGGGAGTCGAGCCCGGGTCTATTGCTTGGAAGGTAATTATCCTAACCATTGGACTATAAACGCCTCTTCTTTACACTATTCCTTTTATTTACTTGAGCATGAAAGGTATACACTTTTCGATTTACTTTTCAAAATTTTCCCTTAATTTTTTACTATCGTAATTGTGTTTGCGGAGAGTCAAACCTGGTTCTATTCCTTGGAAGCAAGTATCCTAACCGTTGGACTACAAACGCCTTATCTTTATACTATTTGTTTCACATAATCAAGAACTACACGTTCTTTCCACGACCCCTCTTAACTGAGACAAGAGATCCAATGCTTAAGGTAGGAATCAATTTGATTACACTATGTATATTGATGGAATCAGGTGATATTTAAAATGTATACTATTCTCCTTTCGTTTCAACTCATTTTATATCTAATATATATTTTTCTTGGCTCGACTATTCCACCAAGCCCAACCATTACCTTTTATTAATATTAAAATTATTAATTAATGATTAAGATGCCAAAAAAAATAAAGAAAGAAATCTATTTAATATTATTCATTTTAAATTTCAAAATTCTCCCTTTAATATTTTACTATTGTAATTACATTTGCAGTGAGTCAGGCAATCATCCTAACCGTTGAACTAAAAAAACCCATTTTTTACACTATTTGTTTCACATAATCAAGCACAAAAGGTATATACTATTTGTTTTTCTTTTCAAAATTTTCCCCTTAACTTTTTACAATCGTAATTCCGTTTGCCAAAAGTCAAACCCGGGCCTATTGCTTGGAAGGAATTTATCCTAACTGTTGGACTACAAACGCCTATTCTTTACAGTATTCGTTTCACATAATTAAGAATAAAATATATATACGCTAATCATTTTACTTTTCCAAATTTTCCCCTTATTATTTTACTATTGTAATTACATTTGCATCAAGTCAAACTAGAGTCTATTGCTTGGAAGGCAATCATCCTAACCGTTGGACTAAAAACTCCTCTTTACACTATTTATTTCATATTATCAAGCACAAAAGGTATATATATACTATTGGTTTTATTTTTCAAAATTTTCCCCTTAATTTTTTACAATCATAATTTCGTTTATCGGGACTCAAACCCAGGTCGATTGCTTGTAAGGCAATTATCCTAACAATAGGACTACAAATGCCTCTTCTTTACAGTATTAGTTTGACATAATCAAGCACAAACTGTAAAAACTATTCATTTTACTTTTCAAAATTTCACTTAATTTCTCACTATCGAAATTGCATTTTCCGCGAGTCGAACTTGGGTCTACTATTTTGAATGATGCAATTATCCTAATGGTTGGACTACAAATGCCTCTTCTTTACACTATTTATTTCACATAATCAAGAACAACACCTATACACTACTCGTTTTACTTTTCAATATTTTCCCCTTAATTTTTTACTATTGTAATTACATTTTCCGGGAGTCGACACGAGTCTATTGATTGGAAGGCAATTATCATAACCGTTAGACTACTAACGCCTCTTCTTTACACAATTTGTTTCACATAATCAAGCACGAAAGGTATACAATATTCATTTTAATTTTCAAAAAAATCCCCTTAATTTTTTAATATCGTAATTACATTTACCTAGAGTCGAACCATCCAAATAACTGGACTACAAAGGCCTCTTCCTTAAACTATTTATTTAAAATAATCAAGAACAACACATACACTACTCGTTTTACTTTTCAAAATTTCCCCTTAATTTTTTACTATCGTAATTTCATTAGCCAGGAGTCAAACCCGGGTCTATTGCTTGGAAGGTAATTATCCTAACCATTGGACTACAAACGCATCTTCTTTACATTATTCATTTAACATAATCAAGCACAAAACATTTACACTATTCGTTTTACTTTTTAAAATTTTCCCCTTAATTATTTTATTATTGTGATTGCGTTTGCCGGGAGTCAAACCCGGGACTATTGCTTAGAAGGCAATTATCCTAACCATTGAACTACAAGCGCCTCTTACTCACACTATTTATTTCACATAATCAAGAACAACCCGAATATACTACTCATTTTACTTTTCAAAAATTTCTCCTTATTTTTTAATATCGTAATTACATTTACGAGAGTCGAACCCCAGTCCATTGCATGGAAGGCAATTATCCAAACCATTGGACTACAAAGGCCTCTTCTTTACACTATTTGTTTCAAATAATCAAGAACAACACGTACACACTACTCGTTTTACATTTCAAAATTTTTCCCTTATTTCTTTATTATCCTAATTGTTTTTGTTCGGGAGTAGAACCCGGGCCTATTACTTGGAAAGAGATTATTCTAATCGTTAGACTACAAACGCCTATTTTTTACACTATTTGTTTCACATAATCAAGAACAACATGTATACACTACTCGTTTTACTTTACAAAAAATTCCCCTTAAGTTTTTACTATCGTAATTACATTATCCAGGGTCAATCCCGGGTCTATTGCTTGGAAGGTAATTATCCTAACCATTGGACTACAAACCATCTTCTTTACATTATTAATTTCACATAATCAAGCACAAAATGTTTACGCTATTCGTTTTACTTTTTAAAAGTTTCCCCTTAATTATTTTATTATTGTGATTGCGTTTGCCGGGAGTCGAACCCAAGACTATTGTTTGGAAGGTAATTATCCTAATAGTTGGACTACAAACGACTCTTCTTTAAACTATTTGTTTCACATAATCAAGAACAACACATATACACTATTCATTTTACTTTTCAAAATTTTTCCCTTAATTTTTAACTATCGTAATTGAGTTTTCCTGGAGTCGAACCCGGATCTATTGCTTGGAAGAAAATTATCATAATCGTTGGACTACAAACGCCTCTTCCTTACACTATTCATTTTAGATAATCAAGAACAATATGTTTACTCTACTCCTTTTACTTTTTAAAATTTTCCCCTTAATTTTTTACTATCGTAGTTACATTTGTTGGGAGTCGAACCCGGGTTTATTGCCTGAAATGTAATTATCCTAACTGTTGGACCATAAACACCTCTTCTTTACACTATTCCTTTAACATAATTGAGCACGAAAGGTATACACATTTTTTACTTTTCAATTTTCCTTTAATTTTTACTATCGTGATTGTGTTTGCCAGAAGTCAAATCCGACCCTATTGCTTGGAAGGCAATTATCCTAACTGTTGGACTACAAATGCCTCTTCTTTATAGTATTCATTTCACATAATCAAGAACAAAAGGCATACGCTAATCGTTTTACTTTTCCAAAATTTCCCCTTAATTTTGTACTATTGTAATTGCATTTACTGTAAGTCGAACCAGAGTCTATTTCTTGGAAGGCAATCAACCTAACAGTTGGACTAAAAACTCCTCTTTACACTATTTGTTTCATATTATCAAGCACAAAAGGTATATATATACTATTTGTTTTATTTTTCAAAAGTTTCCCCTTAATTTTTTACAATCGTAATTTCGTTTGCCGGGACTCAAACCTGGGTCTATTGCTTGCAAGGTAATTATCCTAACAATAGGATTACAAATGCCTCCTTTTTACAGTATTAGTTTCACATAATCAAGCACAAAAGGTAAAACTATTCGTTTTACTATTCAAAATTTACCACTTTTTTTACTATCGAAATTAAATTTTTCGAGAGTCGAACCCGAGACTACAGTTTGGAGTGGCAATTATCCTAATGGTTGGACTACAAATGCCTCATCTTTACACTATTTGTTTCACATAATCAAGAACAACACCTATGCACTATTCGTTTTACTTTTCAAAATTTTCCCCTTAATTTTTTATTATCGTAATTGTATTTGCAGGAGTTGAACCCGGGCATATTGCTTGGAAGGTAATTATCCTAACTGTTGGACTACAAACACCTCTTCCTTAAACTATTTGTTTCACATAATCGATAATAACACATATACACTACTCATTTTACTTTTCAATAACTCCCCTTAATTTTTTTACTATAGTAATTGTGTTTACCGGGAGTCGAACTCGAGTTTATTGCTTGGAAGGAAATTATCCTAATTGTTGGACTACAAACGCCTCTTATTTAAACTATTTGTTTCTCATAATCAAGACCAACACGTATACACCACTCGTTTTACTATTCAACATTGCATTTGTATGGAGTCAAACCCGGGTCTTTTGATTGGAAGGCAATTATTATCCTAATCGTTGGACTACAAATGCCTCATCTTTACACTATTTGTTTCACATAATCAAGAACAACACATATACACTACTCGTTTTACTTTTCAAAATTTTTCCCTTAATTTTTTAACATCGTAATTACGTTTTCCGGTAGTCAAACCCGAGTCTATTGCCTGGAAGGCAATTATCCTAACAATTAGACTACTAACGTCTCTTCTTTAAACAATTCGTTTCACATAATCAAGCGTAAAAAGTATATACTATTTGTTTTACTTTTCAAAAACATTTCCTTAATTTTTTAATATCGTAATTATATTTACCGAGAGTCAAACCCCAGTCCATTACATGGAAGGCAATTATCCAAACCGTTGCAATACAAAGGCCTCTTTAAACTATTTGTTTCAAATAATCAAGAACAACATGTATACACTACTCGTTTCAATTTTCAAATTTTTTCCATTAAGTTTTACTATCCTAATTTTTTTTTCGGGATTAGAACCTGGGTGTATTGCTTGGAAGGAAATTATCATAATCGTTGGACTACAAACGCCTATTTTTTACACTATTCCTTTCACATAATCAAGAACAACACATATACACTACTCGTTTTACTTTTCAAAATATTTCCCTTAATTTTTTACAATCTTAATTGTATTTGCCGGGAGTCGAACCCGGGTCTATTGCTTGTAAGGTAATTATCCTAATCGTTGGAGTACAAACGCCACTTATTTACACTATTCGTTTTACATAATCAAAAATAAAAGGTATACACTATTCTTTTTACTTTTCAAAATTTCCCCTTAAATTTTAATATCATAATTACATTTACCGAGAGTCGAACTCGAGTCCATTGCATGGAAGGCAATTATCCAAACCATTGGACTACAAAAGCCTATTCTTTAAACTATTTGTTCCACATAACCAATAAAAACACGTATAGACCAAGCGTTTTACTTTAAAAAATTTCCCCTTAATTTTTTACTGTCGTAATTGTGTTTGCTGGGAGTCGAACCCAGATCTATTGCTTAGAAGGAAATTAACATAATTGTTGGACTACAAACGCTTCTTTTTTACACTATTCATTTCACATAATCAAGAACAACATGTATACACTATTCGTTTTTCTTTTTAAAATTTCCCCTCAATTTTTGACAATCGTAGTTGGCATTTGAATCCTCAGTGTATTATGACCAATACATCCAGTAATGGCATTCATAGATATTTCTAGACTTTCTTCCTCCTATAAATTCTACTGTTCTGGATCATTAGATAAAATTTCTGAAGGTAGGACATTTTCATCTTCAATCATCTTATTCAACTGTTTTGCTTTACACTGATGGCTTGGAACAAACTTTTCACCACACTTAAAGCATAAATTGTTCTGTCTTCTGTAGTCTATCAGGTTCTGTTTTTTGTTGTTGTAGTGGATGTATTCTTCTGTGGTAGTGTTAACTGCCTAGGCTTAGAACCAGATAGAGGAATTGAATAAGTTGGACCTTTAACAAAAGGTTTGAATCTCTTGCTCTCAAATTCCACAGAGAGCTCATACAATTTAGCTTGCCTGCTTGCCTCAGATAATGTTTTAGGGTCTAGAGCTTTAACTCTGTGTTTAATGTCATCCCTTAGTCCACTAATGAACAAAGAGACAAAAAATTCCTCACCCAAAGTAGGATTCTGCAAAAGCATGTGAGGCTGTAGTTCTTCAAATATGTCTTGATACTCCTCTACATAACCTTTCTGGACTAGTTTTGTAAACTCCTCCACTATATCAACAAAGGCTTTATCACAGAACCTATGACATAAATCTGCCTCAAACTCATGCCAAGTCACATGATGTTTTTGCATAATATACCCATCAAACCAAATCAATGCTTTACCTGTCAAGTACATTGTAGCTACTTCCACTTTCTGTTCAGTAGCAATACTACATAATGAAAAATATTTTAGACATTTCTGTAACCAACCTCTTGGATTACTTCCATCAAAAAAAGGTAGCTCAATTTTTGTTCTATGCAACATAATTCCTGATATACTAGAAGACCCCCCTGTACCTCTTTTATCCACTTCTAAAACCATTAGCTGAGTTCTAGCAGCACTGTTCTCCCCCCATTTGGTTATCATTTTTGAAGCTAGCTATATGAGCAGGCAAGACATTTGGTTTAGACTTAAGAATACCAGGTTCATCCGGTTTATAAGTAAACCGAGTCTTATCACTGATTACTGTCACCTTAACAGGTTGTTTGTTACTCATATTAGATGAATCAGGTTTATGTACCTAATCCTCAAACTGATTTTGGTCCACTTTTATGCCAGTCAGAATCTTCAAGATTTCCTCCACATATCCATGATTCGTAGCCAATCTAGACTCTAGTGTAGAAATCCTCTCTTCCTGAGTCTCCCACCATTTAGGTGGATTAGACTCATCTTGTCCTTGTTTCACCAGTGCTGTCAATTCTTCCATCTGCTTTTGCAACCCAGCTAAGTCTTCTGCCATATTCTGATTTTTCTTGGGCATGCCACCAAACTTGCCAAAAATCGAAGCTCTCGATACCAATTTGTTATGGTTTGAGTTGATTAGAAGAGAAATCAAAGAATACATAAGAGAAATAAAGAGAAATTTAGAGAGAATTCAGAGAAGAAATTTCTTGTTCATTCATAACTTAAGAAATCAGAGTGATTCTACAGCAATATTAATTAGTTACAGGGCTATAATTGTCATTTCAAAATAATCCAGCTGTCTGTACTTATAACAACCTATAGCAGACTAATTATATCATCTCTCCTTGCAGGTTGTTGGGCCACTAAGCTGGACTGGTTCACTATTCCCTTCTGGAGACTTGGGCTGGTCCATTTCCGCCTGAACCAATATCACATAACTCCATTTCATCAGGCAAACGCCTCATTTCCCTTTCTCTTCTTTCAATCCCTAAATTCCCTTTTTCACTTCCCTCTCGAGCCTCAATCCCTAACCCTAGATCACTGCTTTCCCCAATTGTTTCCCCAATTTCTTCCGCTCATCTCCTCGCTCATCTCCTCCGACTGTAACACGAATATCCTAGAAATCGTTACGATATAAGGCCCGACGAACATCCATCATGTCAGCCCGAATGTAAGAGCGGCCGCCTGATTTTTCAGAATGAGTGAGGATTTCATTAAAATCACCTCCACGACCCAAGGTTTTGAAGATTGGCGACAAAGCCGATCAAGTAATACACATATCTCATTGTGTCGCCGACGATCACTGCACCCATGTAATCCTGAAAACCGAAACTGTCGATGATCATTTGCCACAATAACGTCAATATGTAAATTTGAATAAGTCAGAATAATATTAGAGATTTAAATCGATACAAGACTAAAATGCCCAACAAAAAATTATCTACGATATACTATTCTTATTCTAAAAAATGTCTTTAAGTATAAACGTGTGAGTCTCTTCCAGATGAGCTTACATCTTTTGTTTCCAATTCCTTCAATTTGATTGTTCTTTGATGTTAGAACAAGATCAACCTGCCTCTGAGACCCACCTCCAAGCTCTTTTCCTGCTCATTTCTTCACTTAATCTCTACCATATGTTGGGTACTGAACAAAGAAAGAGGAAAATATAATATAATCCAAGACTGAAAAAAAAAACAACGCACCATTTATTCAATAAAAAAAACGTGTCATTTTATAGGCAAGTACAATACTTGAAATTGCTAAACAAAACTTAATTGAAAAAGAGAAAATAATGCCACTAAATCAGGGCTTATTCCTACCGACAAATTAACAGAGATTCACGCAACTAAACACACTACCTAATGTAAACTAACTTAAAGCATTTTCTATTATGAATCACTAAATTTCAACATGCCCCCTTGATTCATAACTACACACACCAAGATGTGTTCTGAATTTTACTTGTTTCTCACAAGATAAAGACTTCGTAATTATGTCTGTCAGCTGCTCATGAGTAGTACGAATTTTCACGTTTATAGAGCCATCTGCAACTAAGTCTCTAATAAAATGAAAATGAATGTCAATATGCTTTGTTCTGCCATGCAAAGCTGAATTTTTTGTGATAGCAATAGTGGACCTGTTGTCACAAAAAATTTCAGTTGCGCTCTTCTACTCTTGACTCATATCGGCAAGTACTCTCCTATGCCATATTGCTTGAAATGCTGAAGAAGTGGCAGCGACATATTCTGCCTTTGAAGAAGAAAGTGCTGTCACGACTTGTTTTTTCGAACTCGATGCGATGGCACCTGAACCAAGACTGAAAACATATCCAGAAGTACTTTTTCTGTCATCCAATAAACCTGCCCAATCGCTATCACTAAAATCAACCAACCTGAAATTAGGAACTTGAGAATACCAACTTTCATAAACTCTAGTTCCAGATATGTACCGCAAGATTCTCTTCGCAGCTCCAAGATGTTGTCTTGTAGGAGCCTGCATAAACCTCGAAACCATACCAGCAGAAAACGCTATACCATGATGAGTATGAGATAAATAAATCAGACCACCAACCAGACTTTTGAAGGCTCTTGCATCTGTTTTCTCTGTACCATCTTCCAACTGTAATTTTTTATTGATATTTATTGGAGTGGCAGCCATCTTGCAACTTAACATGTTAAATCTCATGAAAAGATCTTCTGCATATTTTCTTTGAGAAATAAACATGCCATCTTCTTCTTGCTTAATTTATATCCCAAGGAAATAATGCAACAAACCCAAATCTATCATCTCAAATATTTGCATCATGCTTACTTTAAATTCATCAATAACAGAAGCAGATGTATCCATATAAATAATATCATCAACATACAGACAAACAAGCAGCAAATCATTGTTACCTCTATTCTTGAGATATAATGTAGACTCAATATCACTTCTTTGAAATCCAGTTTGCCGAAAAAATGAATCTATTTTGATGTACCAAGCCCGAGGAGCCTGCTTCAAATAATACAATGCCTTTCTCAATCTGTACACTTTATCTTCCTTCCCTTAATTAATGAATCCTTCTAGCTACGTAACATATACCTCCTCATCCAAGTTTCCATTTAAAAAGGAAGACTAGACATCAAATTGAAAAACATGCCAACGTAATTGCGCTACACTGGCTAAAAAGGTCCTCACAGTTTCGAAGCGAGCAACGGGAGAAAAAGTATCATCAAAATCAATGCCTTGCTATTGTGCGTACCCATTAGCTACCAGCCGAGCTTTGTGCTTCTGGACACTCCATCTGAATCATATTTTGCCTTGAACACCCACTTACCCAATGACATTTTTATCATCAGGTAAATCCGTAAACACCTATGTCAATTTTTTCTCAATTGCCATAATTTCTTCCCTCATTTCTTTGCACCATTCCTCCTTCGTAACAGCCTGTGCGAAGTTGAGTGGATCTGAAAAAATAAGGCAAAAGAACAAGTCTAATAAATTTCTTTGAGGGACTTGAATTTACGTGGAGGTGTTTTATAAAAAAAGAGGTACTCTGAGATGTAGAAGTGGACGATGGTGAGTTTGCTGGGCTTGCATTTGGTGTGTTCGTTGGGTTGATGTTTGGTTTGTTTGTTAGGCTAGTGCTTACGTTTAAATCTGCAACTTCTAGTGTTGAAAGTTGTGTTTGTGAGTTTTCCTCATCGCTTTGCCATTTCCAGCGTGAGCTTTCATCAAAAATCACATTCCTGCTAATAATCACTTTTCCACTAACAGGATTATATAGCCGATATGCTTTGGATTGAGAGCAATACCCAGTGAAAATACATTTTTCGGATTTTTCATCAAGATAGTGTGAAGTTGAGAATTTACCAAAACATAGGCAATGTAACTAAAAATCCTTATATAAGTGGCTTACTGAAGGCCTTGTAACTCTCCAAACTTCATGTGGTGTGCGATTAGGAACAACTCTTGTTGGTGAAAGATACAATAAAAATACAGCTGTTGCAACTGCTTCAGCCTAAAACTATTCGATAATTCTTTGGCTTTGGATAAACTCCTCGCCATTTCAACCATTGTACAATTTTTGCGTTCAGGTACGCAATTTTGTTCTCGTGTATACGGTGTCGTCAACTCCTTACGTATTCCATGAACTTCACAAAAGGCACTAAAGTCATTTCAACAAAACTCAACTCCCCTATTTGTTCCGAGAATTTTAATGGCTGCATCACTTTGCTTTTCAATCATGGCTTTGAATTTCTCGAAGTTCTCAAAACTTTCTAATTTATATTTCAAAAAATAGACCCAATTCATTCGACTATAATCATCAGTATCCAAAAACAAATATCGACTTCCACCAAATGATTCTGTATTCATAGGCCCACACAGATCAATACGTATTAACTCCAAACATTTTGATGCCTTCCAAGATTTTCCAGTAGGAAAATATTGCATTGTTTGCTTGCCATAAATACATCCTTCACACAAATCAAAAAAATTCAATCCGAGATAATCAATGAATCATACCTTTATAATGCAGCAACTTCAATCCCTTTACATTGAGGTGTCCATATCGCAAATGCCATAACTTTGCCTCATCTTTAGCTTCAACGACAAGTGCATATTTTCCACGTTTGAAACTTCAAGTGGAAACATTTTATTTTCGATCATGCACATATTTGCAATGGTTTGCCCAGATTTACGATCTTTATTACACAAGATCCATCATCAAACAAAACTGAATAGCCACAAGTCATTAGCTGTCCAACACTCAACAAATTATGAGCCAAATTAGGAATAAAATAGACATCATAAATCAATTTTGTTTTACAGTCATTAGTGCTTACAACTACAGTGCCTTTTCCTGCTACCAGAATCGTCTTATCATAACCCAACCTATATTTTTCTTGTAAGACGCATCCAGCTTTTTGAATTTTTCTTTTATGCCACACGTATGTTTGGAACACCCACTGTCCACAAATCAAACGTCATTTGAAACACCAACAGTATCAACATAGGCCATGAATAATTGGCTTTATTCTGCTTCTTCTTCTTCAGCATAGTTCATTTGTTTTGCCTTGTACCAGCAGTCCGCTTTTACATGTCTAAACTTTTTACAATGGTGGTATTGAATACCACTCCTTTTGCCTCTCTGATCATTGCCATATTGTCTCTGATCAGCTTGGCCTCTTCCGCATCCTCGTCTTAGAAATCCACCTCTTCCTCGTCCTCTTGCACATAAGAACTCCCTTTTCACTTGAAATGCCTTTTCTCCATTGTGTTCAAGTGATCTATGAATTCTGGCTTCATGAACTTTCAAAGAGCTTTTTACTTCATCAAAAGAAAAAACAGAAAATCTTTGGACTCTTCTATGGCAGCAACAACATGATTAAATTTTGAAGTCGAACTTCTTAACACTTTGGAAACAATAGTCTCATCACTTGGATGCTCACCATATGAATTCATTTGACTAACAATTCCAGACACCCTATCAAATAAATTTCTATTCTCACTATTTTTCATTCTTAAATCCTCAAAATCTTGCCCCAAATTTTGAAGTTTCATTGTTTTTACCTTTAGCGAGCCTTGAAATTCAGTATGCAATTCTGTCCAATATTCCTTTGATATACTGGCTTGAATAAAGAACAGTGCCTTGGAATCCCTTTTCATGTTATCCTTTAAGTCGTGCTTCCTCATCAGGATCCGCAAATCCATTTTCCATCAGGTCCCACAGATCTTGATATTTAAAAAAATCTTCATTTTCACACTCCAAAAATCATAATTTTCGCCATTCAGATTTAGAAGAAGAGGTTGTGACATTGTTGTTGAACTTCCAGTACTAGCCATTTCACAAAATATTGTTCTTCTCAAATAGATTTGTTTTAACCTGGCTCTATATCAAGAAAATGTTGGGTACTGAATAAAGAAAGGTTAAATAATATAATCCGAGAATGTGAAGAACAAACAACGCACTCTTTATTCAATAAAAGTGTCATTTTATAGGTAAGTACAATACTTGAAATTGCTAAACAAAACTTAACTGAAAAAGAGAAAATAATGCCACTAAAACAGGTCTTTTTCCTACCAACAAATTAACTGAGATTCACAGAACTAAACGTACTACCTAATGTAAATTGGCTCAAAGCATTTTCTGTTATGAACCAATATCCTTTCAACGGCTTTTTTACCAAATAATTTATCCGTTTGTCCAGTTGGGGCAAAAAACCCATTTCAACACCATTTACTGGGGTAAACTATACCGATAACCATCTAACTATAGTCACTTTTATTTTGACCATTATTTTTTAAATTTTGTGAATCAAGTCACCCAACTGTTTAAATGCATTCAATCAAACCACTTATCGTTAACAATTAAATATTGTACTTACGTGGCAGTTAAAATAATTTATACAATTGCACATTTAGTCCTTTTTATTTATATATTCCATCAATTTGATCATAATTTTATATTAATTCAATTTTGAATTAACGGAATATATAAATAAAAAGTAATAAATGTGTAATTGTATAAATTATTTTAACTTCCATGTCAGGCCAACCATTAACTGTTAACGGAAAGTGATTTAATTGAATGCATTTAAATAATTGAGTGACCTGATTCATAAAAAATAAAAAATAGTGATCAAAATGAAAAGTAGCTATAGTTAGGTGTTACCAGTATAGTTTAACCCCAACCACTGGCAACTTTCCTTAGATCTTCATATATGGATGGTTAGATGCGGATGAATCGGGCTGGGACTGAGGCGTTGAGTGATTCTGCCACAAAGATGAGCGAAGCGGAGAAGGTGGTTTGTGTAACAGGAGCATCTGGTTTCATCGGCTCTTGGCTTGTCAGGTTCTTACTGGACCGTGGTTACAGTGTCAATGCCACTGTTCGTGACCCAAGTCTGTGCAAACTCAACGTTCCCTTCTCATTTTCTTTTCTTTAAACACCAAACAAGCCCAATTTCATGCCTCTATTTACTTGTAACTTGAAATTTGATGGGTATTTTTCTCGACTTGTTTGGTGTTTATATTCGTAGATGATCCGGAGAAAACCCAGCACTTGCTTGCGCTTGTTGGAGCAAATGAAAGGCTCCATTTGTTCAAAGCAGAGCTACTGGAAGAGGGATCTTTCGATTCTCCGGTTGAAGGTTGCGTTGGTGTTTTCCATACAGCTTCTCCTTGTTTTATTCCTTCTACCGTGAAGGATCCACAGGTACTTCTCTTTGTTAATGACTGCTTAATTTCTGGTTATGATTCGAAGTAGTTTCAAATGGAAAGAATTTATGATACTTGTAATTTGCTAAAATCAGGCATTTAAATTGAAGATACGTTTTTGGTTTTGTTGCGTTTTTCGCCATTGTGGCGACAGTGGATGCTATTACAGTCATTGCGGGTATCGCTGTCGTGCAATAGCAGTTTTGGATGACACTTTTACCGCTACCACTATTTAAATCTGCTGTCTAGCATAGTTTCATCATTGAAAACACCCAACTTATCCTTGTGTTATCAGTTATGCAGGAAGAACTGACATTTCAGACTGTTTGAATATTGGTTCTGATTGGCTAGTGTTTAGCTTGTTCATATTTTCGCTAATCAATGGCATATTTGAATGCGCGTGATATCATGAATCATTAATTTCTGTTTTCAGGCTGAAATGGTGGAACCTGCAGTGAAGGGAACACTTAATGTTCTTCGAGCCTGTGCTAAAGTTCCATCCATTAAAAGAGTGATTGTAACATCCTCCCTTGCAGCAGTTGTGTTGACTGGGAAACCTCTGGCTGATGATGTGGTTGTCAATGAGACATGGTTCTCCGATCCCATTCTTTGTCAGAAATCAAAGGTGTTTTAATGTGCTAAGCTCTTGTTATTTTAGTGTACCATCTCCATTACCACCTTTCAGAATGTGGAGCAGTTTTAAGCTGTTGCTAATATTACACACCACTAATATGAATCTGCTGTCAGTATTAAGTGGAAGATTTAGTTCATCCCGTATTTAAACTCCGTTCATCTTGATGTTTGACTAAACTATGAAAAAATTGATCTCAGAAATTTCCCCTTTATTACTGAATATTAGAGTTATAAAGTATTTTCAAAAGTTTTTATGTTGATGTTGGATATGCTTTACCCATACCATTATTAGTGTTTTCATGTTTTGTTAACCATGGTTCATATTCTGATTTTTCCAGCAATGGTATATGCTTTCTAAGACTGTAGCCGAGAAGGCTGCATGGGAGTTTTCCAAAGAGAATGGTATTGACATGGTCTCAATAAACCCGGGGATGGTGTCAGGACCTCCTTTACAGCCAACTGTTAATGTTAGTTTGTTGCCGATCGTGAAACTTATAGGTGGTAACTTCCAACTAGTTGTAATTTTATCTTTTATCTTCGTACTTACCTTTTTGAACTTTTGATATTGGTTACTAGCAAAGTAAACAATAACAGAGTAAAGAACTGCATATTATATTCCTCACTTTTTAATTTTCTGCTTTAGCTAATTTCTTTAAGCATTCGGCACAAAGCTAAACACATTCCGAGTATAATTGAGTCGAACGTAAATTACAGGAAAACTCATTTGTAACAATTACTGAAACCTATAGGTATTGTCTGAGTTTGCAAATCTGTTACTAATTTTTACAGCTTGTACAAAAAAAGAACATCTATATGTATCACTTGAAGCATGATGTGATGGAAGTCAAAACATTACATTTCGGTAATATAAATACCTTTTCTACAGAGAGATCTTTCTATTTTTTCATCTTTAACATACCCTATACTTGATACAGGGGCTGAAACATTTTCTGATGCAACTTTTAGATGGGTGGACGTAAGAGATGTCGCAGATGTGCATATACATGCATTCGAGAGTTCTTCAGCTCGTGGAAGGTACTTGGTAACCGGGAAACCTATGCACTCTTCCGAAGTTTTGAAGATTTTACGAGAGCTTTACCCTGATCTTAGTTTTCCTGAAAGGTAAGACTGATATATGATTATATTACGTCACTGATGAATGTTGCACTGCACAACTTGCAACCTGCAATATACTCTATTGATGATCCAATTCATTTGTGCTCAAGCTCGTTGCAGTTATTGGAGGTTTAACCTGAAATATATATTGTTGGTGTGGTGTGTGATCGGTGATCCCATTTGGTCTCTTGTTCGAGTAATTGACTAATTGTTTTGATCATGACAGAATGTCGGATAAGAAGGGATTCATTTCGGCATTTCCAGCATTTCAGGTATCCCTGGAGAAAGTGAAAAGCCTAGGCGTTGAATTTACTCCATTAGAGGTAAGCTTGAAGGATACTATTGACGGCTTGAGGGAGAAGAAGTTGTTGGCTGTGTGATTCATGGTATGCTACTAGACATTTAGATTATGTTTGATTGTTTCGAATTGCTGTTGAATGCTTGTAATATTCAGTGAAAACTTGCCATTTTGTCAGCATCATGACAATTTAGCTGTTCTTAGTACCCACAACGTTTCAATGACGTAATGCAAAGAAGTGACTTCTATGTCACATCGGTGTCTAGTGTAGTTAAAGATTTGTGTACTAACTCTCGTCTTTAGTAACGAGGGATAAGGCTTATTGACATTTTTTCAGGTGTATCTTTTTGTACCCATTCGCATTATTTTTTACCATTTTTTAATTTTATTTTAAAAAATGGTTTAGATAATGTTGAGAATTTTGGGGATATTTTTCCCCCTCCGTACGAATTTAATCCTAATTAAAAGGATAAAAGTGTGGGATTCTCTCGAAAAATATATTGATTGGTAAACTACTTAAGTCATGGTCTAACCATAGGATTTTCTTTTCTTTTTTTATAAATTTCGGGTAATTACAAGATAATATTTGTTAATGACTCTTAACCATCTAGCAAGACTCTTGAGTAAGTCGTGGATTTTGTTTCTATAAATGAATCATTTTTTAAGGTTTCTATAAATGAATCATCTTTTTAAGGTTAATCTAACCAGTTCCTTCTCATGGTTTATCAGGTTAAACTATAATGTCAACCCGAAGAATAAAGAAGAAAACTCTTAACCTTATAAGATCAAAATTGAAGCTAATTTTTTTATAATTTATAAAATAAAATTAAAAAACCAACTTGACATTGGAACAAAACAAATTAGATTTGAATGAGGATAAGATTAAATGAATAACCTTCTTAAAGAAATATGTAATCAAGAAGACGCATTCACGAGTTTATGTTCCTTACACTCTACAGTAAAATAACATAGCTGAAAAAGAATAGAACTCTAAAAGACATAACATGGGAGAGAAGGTTGTACTTTCTACAAATTATAGTGCCTCATAAAATGTTAGAATATAAGTTGTAGAAATTTCATAAACCATATCTAAATCATCTAAAAGTGTAATACCTTAAATATCAGGCCAGTGATTATATTGAAAGAATTTAAAAATTTGAAGTATTAAATTGAATAAATGGTAAAGTATAAGAAAATGATTTAGAAATTGTGATTATGACCAAATAGTAAGAATGGAAGAATGAAAGGGTATTTTGGTCCTTTAGAGGGAAATGGATTTAAAATCCATTTTAATTAGGGTATTTAAGAAAAGGGAAAAGTGAAAAATACACTAAGCTATCTCTAAATCATCTTCTTCTTCCCGTGAAAGTGCTATCCTCCATAGCCAAAGGTAAGGCTTCATCTAGCTAGCTTTTCCTTTCGTTTTTTGTTTTCTCTTGTAACCTTGAGTGTTATAGAGGTTTAAGAAAGGGTTAAATAGAATTAAAACTAGGAGATGGATGATTTATTTGAGATTGAAGAAAGTGGGTTTTTGAATGATATGTTGAAATATGAGTTTTTTTATTGAGATTTACTAGTATATTTGACTTGTCAAAGAAGCAAATAAGAGATTCGAAGCATTGGATGTGATTAAAATCATGTTAGAAAAAGTAGTATGATTCTTGGTTTGAGATGTTCTTTAGAGAATTTGGATATTATAAGAAGCTAAATGGAGGAAAGTTAGTTGGATTAAGTGATGTTAAGTTTAAGGGTATTGTTAGAGGTAAAAGTAAGAGAATTAAACAAAAATTTGGTGAAAATCGAGCTGAAAATGGAAAATATGGGTAGGGGTATCGGTACTAGAAGAACAATACCGATACTATAGGTTTTGTTGAGTTAATCGATCGACGGAATTAGCCAAGAGGGGGGTGAATTGGCAATTAAAAATTCGGTGGAAGCTTTTGCAGAAAATTGAAAGATTTGCACAGCGATTTAGAGTGGTTCGACTTTCTCGATCAAAGCCTACGTCCACTACCTTAGCTATCCACACTAAGGATTTTCCAACAAATTCACTAATTTGTTCTTTCTTTTGAGGCCAAAGAGATAACCTTACAACACCCTCAAGAATATACGCCAATTCTTGAGAACACTCTTTTCCCAAAGAGAAGATTACAAATTTGCAAACTTACAAGGAAAATCTCACAAGGTAAGATGTTTGCACAATTCTAGAACAAGAAAAGAACACTCAAAGATAATTACAAATGAGCACAAATGGTATTCTTGAAAGCAAAATGAATATTGAAATGAAAATTGGCTTGATTTGCACAAACTTGGTGTTTGATGCTTTCTCTCTTGTTTCTCTATGATTTCTTGTTGATCAAGGGCTTCAGAACTTGTTTAAATACACCTTGAATCACTTCTGAATGTTGGGGATGATTAGTGAAGATCATATAGTCGTTTTAGTGTGAAAACAATTAATAAAACAGTTTGGAGCGTGGGGGGAATCGGTACCCCCTATGGGGAATCGGTTCCCTAAGTGTAAAATTCAAATATTTCGACCGTTGAACAGGGGGAATCGGTACCCCCTATGGGGGAATCGGTTCCCTCCGAGCATTCTGGAAATCTCGGAGCCAAACCATTCAGGGGGAATCGGTACCCCCTTGGGGGGGAATCGGTTCCCTCTGAGCAATCTGGAATTTTTGACTTCGAAATGGTTCGAAATACTTTGAAAGATTATTTTGAAATTGTTTTAAGATTAAAACTTAATTTTACACTTAAGTAAGGATTAAAAATGATTTTTGAAATATTTGGAGTAATGTTTTGATATTCGAATAATTATATCGAATATACTTAGAAAATCATTTTGGAAAATCTTAAAATTCATTTAACTTAATTTGTTATGTCGAAATATCAAAAAGTTTTCAACAATCTCCCCCTTTTTGATATAACAAAACATTTTAGTAATTTTAAGATTTTGAAATCATGTTTTGAAATTACTCCCCCTTACTTTAACACTTCTCCCATTTATCATTTTAAAAACACACTTAAAACACACTTCTCCCCCTTTTTGTTAAATCAAAAGATTCAAATAAACGTGAAAAATATTAAGCCAATTGATTAGGTATATGTATGCATAAGCTGCTAAGATCACAATCAAGAGAACCGTTAGCCATTAGTTCCATAATCAATATTCATAAACAATGTGATATGGTAAAATTGGTCATATTTGCTAATAATGATGTAAATGATGCAATAATGAATAAATCACACCAATCATATAAGTTCACACCATCCATAAATTCAAACATTCCAAAATATTCAAAATGTTAAAACAATAAGTTTGGAAAACAAAGTAAAACATTTAATCATATATCCGGATCAGGAGGAGGAAAACGAGCTCGCATAGCGGCCATTTCGTTAGTGAGGTCATTAATACGTGTGTTGGTTGCTTCATTATTTGCACGCATTTCCCGAAGAATTTCTAATTGTTGAGCTCCCATTGTGGATAAATGGGACTCTATAGAATTAAAGCGCGAATCCATGGTTGCATATCGGTAATCAAATGTCTCCATAAAAGATTGAAAATATGGAGGCATTTGAGTCGATTGTTGTGCTTGCTCTTCGGGCTGCTCCTCGGCCTGCTCAGGTTCATCTTCAGCTTCATCGATGTCTCGCATTAGTTGCTCAAGCTCGAGATCTTCGTCAGCTTCGGGTGGAGCTTGTGAAGAACTAGCTCCCGGAGTAGTTGCAGAAGTTCGAACCCATTCCCCGGTTTCCTTATCCTTAATCCATCCCGCTCTCGTTAAGGAAAGAAGGTTAATTTGTTTCTTAAGAGGAAAAACGACATCTAGACCGACTCTAAGCCCAGCTTTGGAAAACAGATTACTCAAAATACAACCGTAAACAAGAGATGAACAAAGTTTTTATTAGGAACAAGATTTACGGTTTCAACAATTTCAGCAAAAATAATCTGAGGTAGGTTGATTTTAATATTGTTTTCGAAACAATGTAACCACCAAAGATCTAAGGCTCTAAGAGTAGAATAACGACCTCCAGATGGTCGAAACCACCAAGAAATCATTAGATGAAGAAAACGTTCATGAAGGTCTAGGACACTTGCACTATCCCTTCTTTTATAACGAGATCATAAAACCTGTTTTTCATTTGAAATCCCTTCATTATCTAATCCGAATGTATGGCTATGTAGCCGAGTCAATATATAAGAATTGTCCTAGAAGGTAGGAACGAATTCCTATGGTTTCGGTTTCAGTTTGGTCTTTAACACACGAACGATATTAGAGATCAAATTTCCACTCTTGTAAAAGAGGAAGATATTTAAAATTGATAGCTACATAGCTTGACGAGAAGGAATACGTTCTCCCGATTTTGTAAGAGTCGAAATATTGATAATACCAAAAACGATGATTTCTAGGACCAGGATGATGAAACACGAATTTTGGATAGTCAAATTAGGATCAATAGGATTAGGATTAGAAATTGGAATAGGTGGAGGATTTGGAGGTGGATTTGGTTGTCGGTGTGAACGACTAGATGAAGACCTAGCACGTTTAGGATTAGACATGGTAAAGAAAATCGGAATAAATTGGATAACCTGCAATTTTAAAATCAAATGTATGCAATTTAATTAATCCCAAAACTCAATTGAGTCCCAATATTTCAAGGTTCTCTAAATTAATCCTAATGGGCAAAGTTTTTGAAAAAAAACTTTTGAAAAATATGGTTTTGAGAAACAATATATGTATAGTTTTCATAACACAACATAATTTAATCAAACACATGATTTGAAAAACAACAAAAAAAATTTTTAATTTCGAAAATTTAAAAATTTTGGAAATTCTTGTGTTTTTTATGAAATAGTTGTAACATCTAGTTTCTAATCACTAAACAATCCATGCCCGATCACTATTTCAACCTAAACTAATTAAAACTAATCCTATGTCAAAAACATGAAATAGAGAGTTTAGAAAAATTACCTTGAAAGATGAAGATTGAGGGGATTTAGATGTTGTTTGCACGATTTTAATGACTCCAACAGGTTTAGAAGATGATATTTGAAGCGAATTCCGATTAATATCGTTGATTTGAGGCAAGAAAGGAGAAAGGGAGAGTTTGGTCGGCAAGGAAGAAAATTGAGGGTTTTTGCGTATTTTGAAGGGTTCTGCCCGATTTTAACAGAACCCCAAGGGGTATCGATTCCCTGTGGGGGGA